GGGGCATCAATGATGGTCACGTAGTACTTGCTGGTCTCGAACTTCCACAGAGCGATATCGATGGTGATACCACGCTCACGCTCGGCCTTCAGTTTGTCCAGCACCCAGGCGTATTTGAAGGAGCCCTTTCCCATCTAAACCACAAAAAGCAAAGTAGAGGGAAGAATCAGTCAGAAAGGTTTAACAGAAGAGATTTTATTTAATCGGTTTTATTCATAGATCTGAGAAAACTGAAGTCCAGCTTTAACAGAACTGAATTTAGAGAATTTTACTTTCCTATTTTAATTTATTGTTAATCTTATAGAAATACAAGCATCCTTCACCACAGTGTTCATGACCTTGAACCTTTGACAAAATACAAATACTAAACTCCAGTTAATCCCTTAATCTGAAAAGGTAAAATCACCTTTTAACTGGCTCATAATGAGCTTTTTAAGGGGTGATTATGCAACTACGCTAGGCAGACAATCTGAGTTAGCTTGTTTAACAGAGGTACATCCTGAAAGGTTGATTCTGTTAATCTGGTTGCAGCGTTTTCAGAGGTATATGCATTTTACTGTTTTTTTTACCCATTTCATAAGCAAACAAAATATATATAATGAACTTATTCTTAAGTAAAGTAAACCCTACTAAAAAATGGTTAAAATCTTTTGTGATAAGGCCAAAACATGTTTTGCCGCGCAACAAAAACTTTAATGAGCAGGGTTTGGTTAATTCAGTACCTCATAAATAAGTCTTATTTTTAAATAATTTTTTTCTAGACCTAAAGCTGTTTTTCTTCAGCTTACATTCAGGAGAGCATACTTTTAAAAAATGAACCTCTGTTCAGCCTAATAGCACCAAAAAATTTACAGGCTAGGTGAGAAAAATTATGTAAAACAACATTTTTTTGTACCTTATACAGTCAACCAGAATAGTTTCTGTATGTTTTTGTATGTTTTGTGAATTGATTAAAACAGGCTTTCTTATGAAAATGCTGCATTTTTCTGCCTTGTGTTTGTCTTTGTTAAATTCTTGTTTTCAAGGTCTGCTAAGCATTCTTTGGCATCCTTCAATGTCTGTGCCTTACTGAGCCCTAGGTTTCAGTGCTAATATCCTGTATTCATCCTAGTCCTATCGTAGAATACAGAATGTATCCAAAAACATTGGTTATTGGAACATTTCATGTTATAATATACAAGTAAAAAATTATAACATATAATTTTCATGATAGATATCATGTATAATGATTATCTTATATTGTATGGTCTTTACATTAGATTATAAACCACCTTAAGGGGAAAGCAGTGATTTGTTGCTATATTAAAACATGAATTGAATGTTTAATAAATTTCACTTTCAATGTTAAATTAATTCAGTTTCCCCTAAAATGTTGCGTAATCTTAAATATATAATTATATACAAGCAAGATTTTAACTCTTATTTTGCACGACATAAATTAACCTAACATTTAAATCTTTATGCGTATTTTGCGCTTGAGGGCAGTGTGTATTTTTTAACAGTAGATGGCGGTTTTACCCAAATAATATCATTGAACAGTTATTCCACCACACCCCACCGTCTACTGTTATGGCATTTTACCTCAGTCTCACTGTTATATCCCATACAGTGTTTATGCGGTAAAAAGCCTAAGATTAGGCCGCAGTCACCCACCTCAGCGGCTTCCTTCTCAAACTTCTCGATGGTTCTCTTGTCGATTCCTCCGCACTTGTAGATCAGGTGACCGGTGGTGGTGGACTTGCCGGAGTCGACATGTCCGATGACCACGATGTTAATGTGGGTCTTTTCCTTTCCCATTTCGATTTACTGTTTTTAAACAACATGAGGAGCAGTCATTTCCACTTTTCAAATACATAATGTGCCATATATAATAGTAGTTGTCCCCAAAATGGTGTGAGCCCAGTGAACGCCATTGTGGCTCATTGCCTTCACCGAACGTTAAGGATCCCTGTTTTTCTGCAGAGTTATTAAATTAATGGGGGATTCGTGTTTAATAAAATGAAATAATTCAGGCTCCAATTTATCTCACAG